CCCCCCCCCCCCCCTTTCCAAAACTCCAACCCTTATGATACCAAATAAATGCACAAAATCCTTAAATGAGACAATATCACAAACTGCCCAATGTCCAGCTCTCGTTTTTTTGTAGGTGAGCCAGGCGGTTCTAATGTATTGCAATATATTAACTACAAAATAAAACACTGTATTCTCTCCCTTAGCGCTTCTGATGGTCTCGAATGCCCAGCTTCTCCAACCCATTCCTGTGTCTGTCAACACCACAGCTCCCATCAGTTCGAACAGAATCGTGTCCCTCTGTCCGACAGGATGGGCCAGGGCGTCTGCCCCTAAACCTGGCTATGACTTGACCCGTGCCCAGCTTTGTGTGCGCGTGAACCTCCCTGGAAAACGCTGGGTCGACGCCACCGGACAATGTCGTCAGAACAGGGGCTTCATGGTCAAGCTGGACGCCGTCTTAACACTTGAGGATGTCTCGTTGATGGACCACCTCAGGCAGAGAGGTTTGTCTTGTTTCAACGGTCGTACCATATGTGTCTTGTTACAGTGGTTAAACCATATGTGTCTTGTTACATTGGTAAACCATATGTGTCTTGTTACATTGGTAAACCATATGTGTCTTATTTCATTGGTCAAACCATATATGTCTTGTAACATTGGTCAAACTATGGGTGTCTTGTTACAACGGTCATACCATATGTGTCTTGTTACATTTGTCAAACCATATGTGTATTGTTACTTCTGTCAAACCATATGTGTCTTGTTGCATTGGTCAACGCATGTGTCTTGTAACATTGGTCAAACCATGTGTGTCTTGTTACATTGGTCAAACCATATGTGTCTTGTTACATCTGTCAAACTGCATATGTCTTAACTACACAGATGTGAAGACATGTTAATGTCTTGAACACTGATGATGTCTCGCATGTCTCGAACACACAGGGGCATTTAACATTGGAAATCAGTTGTAGTGAAATCTTAACAAAATGAGTAAATTTGTAAAACATACAAACACATTTCATACTGCGAAAAAAGTAAAGTTATTAGAACTGCTGGGTACAGTGCTGATGAAGGGGAGAGACAGCAATCAGGTTAGAGAAAATTAAATTAGTAAAACAAAGATTTTGAAAACCCGGCAAAAGGAACGCAACCCCCCCCCCAAAAAAAAAAACAACAACAACAAAAAAACAACTAAATTTGTAAAACATAACAACACATTTCAATATGCGAAAAAAGTAAAGTTATTAGACATGCTGGGGACAGTTCTGATGAAGGGGAAAAACAGCAATCAGGTTAGAGAAAATTAAATTAGTAAAACAAAGATTTTGAAAACCCGGCAAAAGGAACGCAACCCCCCCCCCAAAAAAAAAAAACAACAACAACAAAAAAACAACAACAACGAACGTGTCGGCAGGAAGCCTTCGTCAGCGAATACAAAACAGAAAAAAACCAGAGAGCAGCAGCAAAAGAATAATTATTTCGCTTGCGGCCAAAACTCCTCCCACTTTGACCACGTCACAGCTTGAAGAACTTTGAAACGACAAAGTCTCTTTACGTTTTGATGTTTGCTAGAAGATGAAGTTATTTAGCAAATCAAAATTATCTTTTTTTATCAGGCATCCACACCATCTGGTCCGGCATGCATCACAAATATGGATCTCTTTTGTGGGACGACCTTCGACCTCGGATGGTGAAAGGATATATCGGGTAAGCTTTGGGTCTATTCATCAGTTTTAAGCTTCACAGACAGTTCTATGCGTCACAGACAGTTCTATGTGAAGCAGACTGTTCTATGTGACAGCAGACTGTTCTATGTGACAGCAGACAGTTCTATGTGAAGCAGACTGTTCTATGTGACAGCAGACTGTTCTATGTGACAGCAGACAGTTCTTTGTGACAGCAGACAGTTCAAAGCGTCACAGAAAGTTCTAAGCGTCACAGACAGTTCTAAGCGTCACAGACAGTTCTATGTGACAGCAGACAGTTCTAGGCGTCAAAGACAGTTCTATGTGACAACAGACAGTTCTATGTGACAGCAGACAGTTCAAAGCATCACCGACAGTTCTAAGCGTCACAGACAGTTCTATGTGACAACAGACAGTTCTAAGCGTCACAGACAGTTCTATGTGACAGCAACAGGTCTATATGAAAGCCTCAATTCTTTGTGACAGCAACCGTTCCATGTGACAGCAACAGTACTTAGGGACAGCATAAACAAGTTTGGGAAATCGAACAGGATCTTTAACAACTTGAGACTCATTTTTGGTGCTAACAAAATTGTAGCACCCCTGGGCTCAAAGTAGAATGATACAAGTATTAGTGATCTTTATGGAAGCATATAATTATTTCCACTAGCTTTGAGCAATCCTTTATATGTCTGTGTATCTGACTCTGGTAATAGACGTCCATGGAACCAGTACAGGTAGCTATTCCCTAAACTCAGAACATTTTCAGACCCAACGAACCCTACGGATGGAAAAGGCGAGGTTACGCCTTCGATCAAAGCTCTTACAGACTTGGAAACAAGACGTGCGGCTACTTGACTCTTGGGGCTAGTGACGTCAGGAGCGGACGCACCAGGCGTGAGGTCCAAGACGCGTCTAAAACTGTCAAGTCAGCAGCTGTCACTGACAGGCCTGGGAAACCTAGTCCACAAGATCCCCAGTCAAAGTCTCTCCCAAAGGCGTTAGAAACAATCCCATCATTACTAGATCTCTTAATGGCAGACCAGAATTTACGGGTAAGTTTTAAAACAAAAATGTGATTAGATATGTTTTAGTGCTTGGCAAATGAAAAAATGCGCATTCTTTCTGATGTCTTTGACGGCTATTCTCATCCAGCGTCATTACTCTCATGCAATGAAATAGAACACGTTCTTTCTGAAAGTTGAGTTGGGTCCTGACTGATCCGAGGCGTAGCTAGAGTGTCTGTCGCCCAGGGACATCTGCCCCCCTCTTACCCCCCCTTAGCTACGCCTCTGTGACTGATCACTGACAATGACAAATCTAGTATTTCTGTTGTTTAAAGATTCAGATGTATTCAGCTTGTCTTTCTCGTCTCATGAAGCATCTGTCAGTAAAGCTTACAAACATATTTTCGATATTATTAAATGAATTGTCACTATATGTGCCCACTTTCGATATTGTCATTAGATCCACCCCTGACTAAATAAATCAGCTCTTTATGAACCAATGTAAAATCATGACATCAAACACATGTTAGCTAATGTAGACATGAATGCAGTAATTTACACAACTGGGATGTCGTTTGGGATGTCGTTAGGGATGTCGTTAGGGATGTCGTTTGGGATGTCGTTAGGGATGTCGTTAGGGATGTCGTTAGGGATGTCGTTAGGGATGTCGTTAGGGATGTCGTTAGGGATGTCGTTTGGGATGTCGTTAGGGATGTCGTTAGGGATGTCGTTAGGGATGTCGTAAGATAAATAAAGTTGAAAGTCGCAGCAAGTTGTTAATGATAACAAATAGTTTTCATCCTTAAAATTTAAGAAATACACATGTAACTAATCCAATTGTCTTACAAATCCCATTGTCTGACTAATCCCATTGTCTAACTAATCCAATTGTCTAAATAATCCAATTGTCGCACTAAAACTAATCCAATTGTCTAACTAATCCCATTGTCTAACTAATCCCAATGTTTAGCTAATCCAATTGTCTAACTAATCCCAAGGTCTAACTAATCCCATCGTTAGGGATGTCGTTAGGGATGTCGTAAGATAAATAAAGTTGAAAGTCGCAAGAAGTTATTAATGATAACAAATAGTTTTCATCCTTAAAATTTAAGAAATACACATGTAACTAATCCAAAGGTCTAACTAATCCAATTTTCTAACTAATGCCAATGTCTAACTAATCCAATTGTCTGACTAATCCCATCTTCTGACTAATCCCATTGTCTAACTAAAACTAATACCGATCTAACAAATCCATTGTCTAACTAATCCCAATGTCTAACTAAGCCCATTGTCTAACTAATCCAATTGTCTAACTAATCCCATTGTCTAACTAATCCCAATGTCTAACTAATCCAATTGTCTAACTAATCCCATTGTCTAACTAATCCCAAGCTCTAACTAATCCCATTGTCTAACTAATCCCATGGTCTAACTAATTCAAATGTCTAACTAATCCAATTGTCTAACTAATCCCATTGTTTAGCTAATCCCATTGTCTAACTAATCCAATTGTCTGACTAATCCCATTGTCTAACAAATCCATTGTCTAACTAATCCAATTGTCTAACTAATCCCATTGTCTAACTAATCCCAATGTCTAAGAAATCCCATTGTCCAACTAATCCCATTATCTAACTAATCCCATTGTCTAACTAATCCCAATGTCTAACTAATCCCATTGTCTAACCAAGCCAATCCAAATGTCTAACTAATTCCAATTTCTGACTAATCCCATTGTCTGACTAATCCCATTGTCTAAGTAATCCAATTGTCTGACTAATCCCATCGTCTGACTAATCACATTATCTACCAATAATCCTGTCATCTCTCGGTAATCCCTTCCTCTCATTGTAATCTCATCATTCCTCACATTGGACTTGTGTCAAAACATCTCAAAACTCATCGATTTATTTTACTTAGGACAAAAATTCGACCACTTCAAGCAACACAGTCACTGTCACAGCTACACCCTCGGGCATCCGTACAACACCATCAACCACGACTACCACAACGACCACTGACCTGTCTGACCTGGAGGATAACGAGAACCACCACCCCATGCCAACCACACCTCCTCCACTCCCACTGAGGGAGATCCCGTCTCGAGTGTCGACCCTCTCCCCCGCCAACTCCACGGTCCAGTCTGCCAAGGGCACCTCACTGCCCGCGTCCACGTCCTCGGCCTCCACCACGCCGCAGCCTAACACTGTGGTCGACGACTTCCTGAACCGACCTCTGGACGCGGGGCTGGACACCCACGGCGCTGAGCTCATCGGACACGACGACCTCCTGCCTAAGCCGGGCGAGCCGAGCATTTCCTTCAACACACATGATCGACTCGCCGTCCAGGCCAGATCTTCCATCGCGTCTTCGGAGAGCGTTGACAGCAACGAGGCGGCCAAGGCGACCTCGATGAAACAGACGGTCGACACTCGTCAAAAAATAAACACTTCTGCCAATGTCGTTTTGAAAAATGCAAACGCATCCAATCCAGAATCCACGACTGTTTCTACGGTTTCTAGAACTACGCTTATCACCACACAAGGTCGAGTGGTGTCTACTCCACAACAACCACTACCCACCAGTACAAGTGGCATCATGAAAACAAAAGAACTATCGTCCACCTCGATGACGGCAGCAGCAGAAAACACAACGCTATCGACATCTCAAACACCAGATCACGTTTCTACAAGAAGTACTTTGAATTTAGAGACTACAGGTTCTCAAGTTGTTGAAGACAGCATGGAAAAGCTGATGAACGTGACATCCGGTGACGTAGACAGCAAGAATGCATCCACTTCAGAGTTGGAGAACTCCAAAGAAAACTCTGACGGCTCCTCGTCCAGCGAATCGTCCACAGTTGTCCAGTCAACCACAGAGCTGCCCAGTGTCACTGAAACGTCGTCCGGCTTCGCATTCACGGGAGCACACACAGGTCATCTGACTACAGCTTCCAATTATGACACAAATGAAACCACCACCACAGAAGACGATGATCCCAGCCCAACACCCTTCTCTGCGCTTACGACACCAACCCAAAGCAACCGTGTATTACTTGACAACACATCAGCAGAAGGAGTCACAACATCAGCAGTCGGAGTCACAGCATCAGGAGTCGGAGTCACAGCATCAGGAGTCGGCCCTCTCACCACTAATCCGGTTTCATTCACAATGACACCTCCGGATATCCAGGTTAAAGACACCGACAGCAAAGAGATTGGATCTAGTTCAGAATCCATGGATATGTCAATGGAAGACATGGTGAGCTCGGAGGAGCTCGACTTTTCTCCCATGAGTAAATACTCTTCAACAACGTTACCGTCTGACATCGTAACAAGCACCGTGACCTTTGACCCAAGCACATCCACCACACAGACCACGGGAACAACCCCACAAAACAATGAGCCACGACAAGATACAAGGGATCGACCCCAAGAGCAGTCCAAGGGGGTCACGGTGGAGAAAGACGCCCAGATCATTCCCGTGACCGATTCTCGTGATTCTTCATTAGATTCCTCCGAAGAGCAGACATTTCCCAACACTGTGATGAGAGAACCGGTGACTCCAACAGACATTATGGCGCTAGGGGACTGTGAGGAGGAACGGTCTTCTGTCTGTGTTACCGAGGCCATTGAAAGTTTGTCTCTAGGTGAGTGACTTTAAAGAGCTTTCAATAATATGATAAAGTGAGGATGTGGTGAGCGTATGATAAAGTGAGGATGTAGTGGGCGAAGACAGTGTGAGGATTTAGTGGCCGTGTTTGCTCGAAAACTCCCGACCATTATGCTATCCTTATTTTACCATAGAATAGTTGACCATTGAAAATATTATTTAATCATAACATCATCTGGCCACATTGGAAACGAATAAGCAATAGCCAAAAATATATTGGTTGAAGAAGATCAAATGAAAAATCCACAAGGCCTAGAGACCCACAAGGTCAGACTTTGAAGATAGACTACCCCACTAGTGCAGTTTTTTTTTTTTTTTTTTTTTTTTTTTTGGGGGGGGGGGGAAGGGAACCCTTACAGAACAATGTTTTGTATTAGTTTGTTTGGACTCATGAATATGTAACACTTGACATATGTGACATATGACATGTAATGCACGCAAATCATTAGCTCAATGTTCACATGTCAATCATGTGACGTCATCACCCACCTGTCACTTCTCAGTTAGCCACTGTGACAGGAACTGGTTCGGTCATCGACTGCTGGACAAGTGCTACAACCCCGTGGGGTTCACGCTGACTGAGATCGAGGCCCGTCAACATTGCCTACGCTACAGCGCCACCCTGGCGTCAGCAGACACAGACTTCTATGGCAACATCACCGCCTTGCTGTTGGCAGACTTCGTACAGACTCGGAGCTTCGGTAACGTTACCAGATCTTTACGACTCTTTTTGTCATAGAGTACTCCTTGATGGGAAAATTATGTCTGTGAAGACAATAGGAAGTCTGTTTCTTAAGTCTAAAAGTATTGGTTTCAAGTTTTACTTGGCTTAGGGGAGACCACTGACATTCGTCATTTGCGGGTGTCACAAAAAAGGGAGGGAAGAAGAGGGGGGGGGGTGCAATTCAAACAAATTCACTAAATCTGTATGAATCTCAAATTAAATTCATGTACGGAACATCGATATTAAGTCGTCTAGTTCTTGTACCCAAAAGTCTTCCATTATGTTCATGATTTCATAAGTATTTATGGCTATTTGGTTATTTAGTCAGTATTAATTTCAAGCAAGATTTTCGTGTTACCTAACCCCAAAAGTCCCGAAACAATTGCCCACCCCAAAAAAACAACAACAACAACAACAACAATAACAACAACAAAAAAGACACCAAAAAAAATAATTAAAAAATAAAATAAAAAAGCAACAACGACAACAAAAAAAACCAACAAAAAACAACAACAACAACAACAACAACAACAACAACAACAACAACAACACAATAAAACCAACAAGCAAAACTCCCACGGCAAACGACGACCACAACTGAATTGAATTCTACCCTACTGTTGAAGCCTCTGACCACGCCTCTATATTTTACAGAGAGAAGAGTTTGGCTGGACACATCCTTAAATTTGAACATGAAGGTCGAGGACGGGCTCTGCTCAGCTCTTGACAACCAACGGATTCTCCGAGTCAGCTGCACGTCACGACTGCCGTTCATATGTCAGAAAGATGCGCAATTTGGTGCGTAGCTGAAATATAGCGCTTTTTATTTTGAACCAGGTTGATTATTTTTGTGAACGATATCCCGTGCTAGTAAACGCCTGGTGCACCACTAGGGCTCAGTATTACCACTCGGAGAGTACATTGATGTTACAGCCGACTGTGTTCACATGTGCCTCCATTGTTTTCTCTCCACAGCCAGAACGCTGGAAGACTACAGGGACAACATGGACACGGTGACCTACATACAGAATATGACGTCCTTCCACCCTCAGACGCTGCCTTGTCCTCTGGGTCTGACCGCGTTCGATGACGTCATCGTCTGGTTTAAAGATGGCCGACCCATTTTGGATACAACCGATGACGACAGAAACTCGTTTGGTCTTAAGAATGGACGTAAGCTTAATGCCTAGGTCTCTTATTTATTGGATTAAGATGGAGTTGTAAAGTAAGATTATGCCAGGTCTTGAAACTGAGGCAGAGGTCATAGGTCAATGTGAAAAAAAGGAGGGATGAAGAGAGGTGCAGTTTCACCCTTGATACACAGTCCAAAGAATTGTTGTTATTGTAAACTCTATGCTTTCTCTGGCACATGTGTTTCTATCTCTCTCTCTCTCCTTATACTTTCTCTGGCACATGTGTTTCTATCTCTCTATCTCTCTCTCTCTCTCTCTCTCTCTTTATACTTTCTCTGGCACATGTGTTTCTATCTCTCTCTCTCTCCTTATACTTTCTCTGGCACATGTGTTTCTATCTCTCTCTCTCTCCTTATACTTTCTCTGGCACATGTGTTTCTATCTCTCTCTCTCTCCTTATACTTTCTCTGGCAAATGTGTTTCTATCTCTCTCTCTCTCTTTATACTTTCTCTGGCACATGTGTTTCTCTCTCTCTCTACTTATACTTTCTCTGGTACATGTGTTTCTATCTCTCTCTACTTATACTTTCTCTGGCACATGTGTTTCTATCTCTCTCTACTTATACTTTCTCTGGCACATGTGTTTCTCTCTCTCTCTCCTTATAGTTTCTCTGGCACATGTGTTTCTATCTCTCTCTCTCTCTACTTATACTTTCTCGGACACATGTGTTTCTATCTCTCTCTCTCTCCTTATCCTTTCTCTGTCACATGTGTTTCTCTCTCTCTCTCT